GTTTTCTAATAGGAAAAATGAGCCCAGCTTTTAGTAAAAAGTAAACTTGTGTGGAATGTATATTGGGATAATATTTACATACCTTGCAATTTGTTCATATATCCTTTTATATGTTTATTATTTTTATTTATACATCATTTGGTATATTTGTCCCAACTTAAAGATGCTCTGAATGGTACCCAGTAATTCAAAATACCAGCAGAAGTAAACTAATTCTTTGTTACCAATCCAATGTTATAAAATGTAATAATTTATAGTATATCTTGTTAATATTTACATGAAGTTGACCTTAGATTGGAACAAATTTAATACATCTTTTGTGCAGCAAGACTCCTGAATAAATAATAATATATCATTCCATGTTTGCAAAATTAAAACTAGTTTCTTTCCTATGTAACACTTAATGTTATTCTAGTAATTAGTTTTTCTTGTAAAATAATGATAGTGTAGGCTTGTTAATTAGCAGCCATTATATTACATCATTATATCCTCTGCATATTTTCATATGGGTGGATCTTTTATGGCTTCACAAAGTCCTTCAAGGGAGATGCTACTCTGTTCCCTGTCTTATTTGTGCGTGTGTAGTGTATAACTACACAGCCATGGACACATATATTCTATCTCTATATATGTAGTAAAAGAAGAAAAGTTATATCCTAGGGCATCTTTAATATGAAATATTTTTTATTACCTACATGAAGTTGCCAGGAATAGATATTGAGATTGGAGTGGATGTTGAGAATATTCTTAATGGAATTATGATCTTCTATTCTAGTTTTGTTTCTATCACCTGGTATTGGTGATGCACTGGAAATGTCAAAGTTTTAAGTTGAGGAGTTTCAGAATTGGGCTAAATCAGTGTTGCTTAAACTTTTTGCTTTCAGGGCCACTATCCCACTTTTAAAAATTATGCAGAATCTCAAAAGAGCCTTTATTCATAGGGTTATTTAGGATATTTATTGAATATGTAAAAATAATAATATTAAGTCCACTAAATAGTAACAATACTGAAGTATGTTTCATGAAAAAAGTCTACATTTAAAAAGAACAAACTAATAATGAGAACAGTGACATCGTTTTGCAAATATCTTCAATATCTGGCAAATAATTTTGATTTTGGAGACCCCTGAGAGGGACTTGGGGACCACCATAGGTCATTTTACCAATATTAATCACTACAAACATTATGACAGGTAGTAGTGGCACTCTACAGATAGATGCCTTATCTCTGTGTATTGGAATATTTTGTAAACTACATTTTAATTCCTTTCTTAAGTAAGTGCCATATAAAACACAGAATTTTCCAGAAAATAACCTGGAGAGTACAAAGTGCTGTTCATTATTGAAACTAAACAAGTATGGCCCTGATTACGAGCTGAATGAGAAACTTCATGAGAGTTTGTCTTTACATCAATCTAGAAGTCTAATAAATGTCATGTAAAATATATACCTGGAGCAAATGCAAATGTTGGAGTAGTGAATTAAATAGTAGAGGATTCTCTAGTGAACAGGTATCAAATTGGCAGCCTGCAAGCTGGATGCATCATGCACAGTCCACCCCAGCTCCGCAAAGTGAAAAACTTCACGAAACGTCACATGATGGCAATGTGACACGGCAAGTTTGATACTCGTGCTCTAGTCTAAGAGGCTATGCATCTTGCCACCAAAAACTGTATTTCCAAGGAAAGAATTAGCAAAGTATTGTTTGGAAACATAGTTCCCAGCTTTTAATGTTTATGTTATTTTATTTTGTATCCATAAAATCTATTTTTAAATTGGATATGAAGTATGTGTTTCTACAACTGCAGATCTTACACATCTCCTTCACTAGAGATTGTAATCCGCTGAAATCAAACAGACTTCATCTTTTCAAAAATAGGAGAGTGCTTCAAGTGCTAATGTATAATTTTTTCTAGTAATAAGAATAAACATGAAAAATAGATGATGGTTTTTAAGTATAAGGACAATACTAAACCAACATGGCTACTACAAAACATTGATTGCAGAGTGATTCAGCAGTCAAACTAAAGATGAAGGAGGACCTCTAAACTGCAGTCTGTTAAATGTTTTATAAAATGGTCTGACATGTATATCTTTTTAGTAATTTTAAACTGTACCTAGAATTTAAGGACAGAATATGAGTAATTATCTCATTTTAAGATATGAGCAATTATCTCATTGTAAGTACAAGCATAAAGCAGATCAACCCCACTAATTAGTATCACATTGATTTGATACAAGAGCAGTAAATAATTTCTCAAACCCTGACTCTTCGACAACATGTCTGTCTGTCTACACAGACACAGACATAAACAAACACACACACACACAAACTGCACAAGCCAAAAGAGTAAAAAATTCACTGCTGCCAGTGGTTAATAAATTGCCCAGTCAATAGATACATTTAATGAAAATTATGTGGATGTATCCAAGAGTTGAGAACCAGATTGGCATAGTGGTTAAGATATCAGGCATGAGTTCTAGGCCATGAGTTCTGGGTGGCTTTGGCCAGTCATTCTCTCTCAGCCATAGGAAGGTGACAATGACAAACCATTTCCAAAACTTGAAGGACTTGCAAGGACACTGACTAGAATGTACAAAACAAAAAAAGTAGCCCTGAATATAGAATTCTATCCTATCCCTCAGTGGGGATCTCACTCAGTGAGATATATAGTGGTGCTGACTTTGTTTACTATGACTGAGTTCAGTTCAAATGAATATTGAAACAAATTACCATGTAATACTTTTAATAATGAAAAAATAAAATGTTGGTAGTATTGGTCTAATGTTTTCATGGATACAATACGTAACTTATGCATGGAAATTTATGGATAAAACTAGATTCTATAATTAGGAATAATTCAAGCTTTGACTATAGATGATATAATAAAGATTTATGAATAGTTATTCAGTAGATAGTCTTAGATGCTAAATATATTTCATTAAAAAACATTCTCCATCTCTTTCTCATTGTCAAATGTTTCCCAATTGCTTTGTTGAAGCAGTACTTGTTTATTACTGTATTTATCCAAAGGAAGATGAACTTAAGTCAAGGACTTTCCCTCTGTCTGTCCTTATTTTTCCTTGCAATCTTGTTGGGTCTTTATATCATTTGGCCTTCATTCACATCCTTGCTAAAGGATGCTATTGCTTAGTATAGTTTTTTTAGCTGTCTTGGTTTTTTTTTTTTCATTCAGAGGGAGCTCACTTTATCTTTGCAGCTTGCAAGGTCTTCATAGTCAAAGTAATTTGTCAACTTCTCCATAGTATCAAAATCTGAATTTTTAGAAAGCTTGATATCCTTTAAATTGTCAATTCTTACTTTATTGAAGTTGCAAGTTACAAGTGAAGTTGTATTCATTTAACAACTGCCTTGTTTAATGAACATTCATAATTACAGCAATGATGAAAAAGTAACTTTACAACCAATTTGTGCATTTATAACTTTTGCAGGTCTATAAAACAAAATAAAGCTGAAGTTAGAACATACATATAGTTGTAGTTTTGCTTAGGATATCTTAGAATGGCTGTTAATTGTACACATTTTTCTTTGGGTTTTTATTTATATCTCTTCCAAGCTACTAAGTAAAATGTAATTGTGTTGTTTTATTTTTGTGAAATAGATTAAACTAAGAGATGCATAGTAGTCCAATATACCCAGTGATTGATTGGCTATAGAAAGCAAGCCTAATTTCAATACTCTTCATCGAAGAATATGTGAGACTCACATAATTTATTTAACATACAATTGAGTATTCCACACAGAGGCTATATTTCATGATAGTATTATTTGATACTAATAGGTGTTTTACTGGTAGAATAACTATCATGTAATGGTCATATTATTTTTTATCCAGTTAATTGATATTTGCATTGAAGGAACTTCCAATTTTACTCCAAGACAACAATCTATCTTAAGCACTATATGAGTTGCACTCTTTATCTTCAAATCAGAGTTATAAGTGGCCATTAATACTTACATATAAGTCTTGCTTTTAGTGATAATACTAAAAAAAGTATTCCTGTTGATGCATCTTATAAAGAAATGTGTGTCTTTTTTTAGTACTTAGGTGTTTTGTGGGAAAGGAGGTGTGATGTCTTTTTTCACATAATTTTAGAAACTACCTAAATTTTCTTGAAGCATTTGTTCAATTGAGTGAATAATAACTATGACGACAAATGTCCCCTTCTAAAAACCATTGCTGTTACAACACAGGAATAGTTCCTCTCCCTTGTGACCATCCACAGTTGAATTTTGAGAGAGAGTAGCAGAAGATAATATATGTAACTCAGGGTTGAATTGGTTGAATTCTTGGTGCTTTCTGAGCTTGGCTGTAGGTAACATCAGTGCCTTCATCAGAGAGTTATTGATTATTCTTTACTTCTTAACTAATTATGTTAATTACATGAATTTCAAAGCATGGCATACATATAGTTCTGTATTGTCATAAAATTTAGATTTTATGAAACCATTTCTCAGTAAATTTCTTTTTTTTTAAATTACCCAATATAATTAGTTTATATCTAATGAACAGGGTCCCTGGGATCCTTGTATTCTTTCTAGTTCTTTTCCCACAATATATTCTTGCTAAGCTATTATGTGTATTCTTGCAGATCTACCTTAGCCAAGAAGAGAAACTGTATACACACAAACCCACACACTCATGAACAAAACAAGTTAGAAGAGGGGATATTTAATGTAGTATAAGTCAGAGTTGCCTTAGTAGAAAGCAACATTCAGCCAGTATGGGCTAATTTCTTAAGGTAAACAGAGTCAGAAGTGGTTGGTATTTGGATCAGAAATTTCCTGGAGAATTTATGATTTTTGGGTTAGATTGAAAAATAAAAAAAATCTCACAAAGCAATAAAGGAAATCCATAACGTTTCTTACCAGGTTTATGCAGACATCAGAAAATATACTTGATTCCATTTTTATTTTGGCTCCATTTTATGCTAAAGCTCAATATTCCAACTAACACTGAGCTGCTTCATATTTTCAGATGCAGACGGAAACTTGTGTAAAAATTACCAGCTCCTGTCAGTAATTTTAACCATGCACCGACTTATCATCTCCTCCTCTGATATACTGCGAAAACTAATAGATCTATATCCTTTTATATTTTACAATTAATCCTTAATTGCTGATCTAAAGTTGTGACAACACAATGATTTGAAAATAATATTAAAACAAAATATGTTTTCTTTTATTAGAAATAGTATGTGTGTAAATCTCTATATTATTTTATATATTTAATTAAATAAATCAGATCTCAACTATTCTTGATCTTATTTCAATCTGTGATTTTGAAAAATCTGAGCTTCAGTTAGTAATAACAGTAATGGCTGTATAGACTAAATTTTCATGCTATAAAAATATTGTAACTGTTGTATGTCTGTGTTTCTACTTCTCTCCCTTCCCCAACCTTGTATTACTTGCCAATGTATCCTTAAAGTATTTTCCAAGCAGATTTTGTCTATTTCAAAATGCAAAGTTTACATTTGCCAAATTATTCTGCATTGTTTTCAGTTTCTGTTTATATTAATTTGCCCCACATATTTTTTTGTGGATTTTATTCACAAACTTTGTTTAATTTCAACTTTCTAATAATATATTTATTCCTTCATGTAGAATTTTAATATATCAAGCAGCTAGTCCTTTGTCATACTTTTGAAAGTAAAGTAGATGTTAAGTGCAAGATATTTTTAATCAAAATAAAAACAGATGTAGGTTACAAAAAAAATGAATGTTGGGTTAGGTAGGACCACATAACAAGGGATTTCTAATTATCAAAATGCAAAAGAAAAAAAAAATGACCTTTACAGCTGAATTAGAAATAGAAGACTGGTTGTTCTATTTATTTTCTTTGCAGGTATTTTGAGAGCCCTTGGTGCAAGCTAACACTACATGTACCTGATATGATTCAGTCTGTATATCTGTAGAATCACTGATATTCTTTTCTTTTCTGTAACTGGGTCCTTTTTTATTTCTTGATTTTAATCATCTGGTCTGCTGTTGGGCTCTTTTAAGCTTTTCCATTTTTCTTCATGATTGTGTATGTATTGCTTCTTGTTTTTAAACTATAAAAAGAATTGGTTCTAATCTGCAAAAAAACGGAAAAAAAATCTACTTATCTTGAGGAGCACTCCCAGTCCAAATAAACATGCAAAACGTATCTAAATTAGAGGAATAGGTCGTGATTATCTAAACAAAAATAGGCACTTGGAGTTCATATGTAACCATCAGAACTATATTGTACCCTTCCTGGTTGCCAAATTTTAGCAACATAATTTGAAATCTTTTTCAAATTTTTGGTTAGGTTTCAAGATGGAAGTGGGAAAAGATTGCTTGTGGATATTCTTCTCCCATCTAACCTTTTAAAGCCAATACTCCTGGCCAAGAAAGGGAATGAAAAAATTGTTTGTTTCTTTTGATGATGTCTCAGCATAATAAGAAAACTACTTATAGCTCTTCAGACACTTAAAAGGCTGAGTTGCTTTCCCAGTGGCATATATTCTTATGATTATTTCCACCCAAAATGTCTGATTTTTAATTGGTCTTTCTTTTCTATTTGATAGCTCAAATTCCTTTGTATATTTTTTTTCTAGACCTCAGGAATTTGCATTCTGGGGATAAAATTCCGAAAGAATTTACTTATTCTCCACTGAGCCGAAGGGAGAATCCAGGATGGGTAGTCTCTAGTCTCATAGCTCTGCAGACGGAGTTGAAAACTGAGGACACCCCGCCTTGGTAACGGTCTGCAGTTCTTTACTTGGTCTCAGTGTGGTCAGACCTCCCTTAAATGGGCTCTGAATTGTTTGGGTTGTCGAAGAATATTCAACACCTGGATATGTTTTTTTCGTTAAAGATCTTAGCACAGGTTTGACAGCTAGCCGGTTTTTAGCAGTTTTTTTTAATTTTTGCGCCTTTTTCCTTTTGCGTTTTTAAAAGCTTTTAATTATTTTTTTTAATCTTTCTTTGCTGGTATACTGGTTTTTATGGTATTGGTTGGTCGGGTTGTGGTTGGAGGTATCCCTAAGAGCCCGTGTGGCCGGGCTGGGGGCAGGAGTCAGTGCCTTCTTTAGGTCTCTTTTTCCTGTGCTGTTCCTCTTAGTTTGGTTTGTCGCAGCAGCCGCGAGGCGTGTCAGCCCCTTTTTGGCTTGAGTGGCCATTTCTGATGATTAGGGACAATTCTGCAGCTTGACTCTAGGATTGTCCCTAGGATTGTCCCTAGTGGGGGTGATAGACATCTGGATTGATCCAGACCCCCTTGACCAGTCAGCAGAGCAGCATGGCAGCTGTGAGGCTCTTGAGCCTTCCAGAATTATTACAGTGCATTTTGTCTTGGAAGTGGCTGATCTGTCTGGGCTTGTGACAGTTTTTTTTCTTCTGATCCTTTATTAAAATTGTGGAGCTGTGCTGAGCTCACCACTTCTTGGTCGCACTTGCCTCCTGAAGTGGTGGACAGCTGCTTTAGCCAGAGCAGCCAGCCTTTGACTAAAGAATTTTGTTTTTATTTTTCTTCTTTCATCTTTTCTCTCTCCCTCTGTCAGTGACAGTTATTTTTGGCGGGCTCAAGATGGCTGCCAGGGGAGCTGATCAGGAACTGTCAGCTCCTCAGCAGAATAGAGAGAGAGAGCTGCTAGAGGATCAGCTAAGCCCAGGTATGCTGGCTTAGAGGCAGCAGATAGAATTAGAGACAGGGCCCTAGCCCCCAAAAGATGACCTAGGGCAGAGGAAAGACAGGCTAGGCAGAGACAGAAGGCCTTGAATAAAGAATTCGACAAGGCTGTGAGGGAATCCAAGATGGCTGACAGGGCATTTCTCCTATGATTCCCCAGGATAGCAGGCAGCAAGACCAATTGCCAGATAGACATTATTTGACTGCCTGGTCACCTGATGGCTCAAGTACCTAAGATTTGCAGAGAAACCGCCAAATAAGGGCAGACGCTGCTCATACTGTTTCTGAGCAATCAGAAAGGATTATGGCTGCTAGATCTGAAGCCCAATCCTCCAGCAGATCCAAGGCTGTACCTGAGGCCATTTTTATGCCTACAGCTGCAGGATGGCGACCTGAGGAAGCCCAGATGCAAGAGATGCCAGCCTTCATGAGAGCCTGTTTTGTGAGGAACAAACAACGTCCACAATTATGCTAAGTCAGCCTTTATTAACTAGAAATTGTTAACTGTAACATTTAACTGTAAGAGTAACTGTAACCGCAGTAACCGCAATAGCCTTTACTGTTGCAAGTCGGCTGACAGGCACGAGCAATAACTGATGCAGCCTGACAGCTTGCTTTTATATGGCTGTCATACTGCTCAGCCAATGAGAATGGACTTCAGTTCCTGCTCAGTACAGCCGAATGTAACAGCCTGGATCTCCCAGGCAGTTAGGCAAGATTTTCAAGGGTTTGGATGCTAACAGAGGCATTCCTCAGGGGTATGGCCACGCAGAGCAGCTGATCTACCACAGAGATCATTCCTCATCCCCTTCAGGAAGGAGCCAGACTTATGTCTCCGAAATGGATCTCCCACCGGAAAGGAACTTTTCGTACGATGAGTCAGAGGTAGCAGATCCCCCCCTCATTTAAAGGCCTTTTCCAGCTGGCTCTTTTTAAGACTCTGCTGGTTAAGACTAAGAGCATGGCCCATCTAAAGAAGGACACAGTCACCCGAGATCCTCCCCCAGAGGGAGAAGAGCAGGAGGATTATTTATTCACTGAAAAAACATCAGTGATGGATGCTGTGCCTGTGTCCCAGATGTTTTTGAATGTGATTAAAAGACAGTGGGATTCCTCGGGGGTGTACACTCATCCTAGTGGCTCAGAGACGACCCTATTTAATGTGGACCAAGACCTTTTAGACATTATTGAAGTGCCAAAGGTAGATGGTCCAGTGGTGGCCCTAGCAGTCATCCCACCTGATGTGGAGGATGTTTTAAAGTGGGAGGACCGGAAGGAAGAGATGGCACTCCGCAGAGCCATCAAGCCAATGCCTGGGCCATCAGAGCATCCACAACTGCGTCATTTTTCACACGTGTCTCTTTGAGGTGGCTGAGGCAGTTGCAGGGCAGAATTCCACCTGAAAACCTTAGGGTGCATCAGGACCTGAACAAGATAATTGCTGCAGCTCAATTAACTGCCAATGCCACCCTCACCTCAGCCAAATTTTTGTCCAGAGCCATGGCCTCATCCGTAACAGCACGTAGGCTCCTCTGGCTAAGGAATTGGCAGATGGATGCCAGGAACAAATGGAAGCTGGTGTAAGTTCCTTTTAAGGGAGAGAAGCTTTTTGGGGAGGCCCTGGACCCCTTTTTAATGGAGACCAGGGACAAGTGGAAAATCCTGCCCTCTAAAGGGAGGCGTTTTGATTACAGGTCTCCGCCCTATTACAGGAAGCCCTCCTTTAAACAGGGAGGCTGGGGCAAGCTTTCCCCATCAAACTAGGTCCTTCTTCCAATGATCCTCCTCTCAGCCGATAGACCAGCTTTTACTTCCAAAGGGCGTCAGACGCCAGAGGGCAAGAGGTCATTCCAGGGATCCAGCAGAACTTTTAGATGCAACAAGTGACGCCAAAGCCATTTATCCCATAGAGGGCCATCTGGGTCTACTCTGGCAGAAGTGGGAAGAGACTATGATGGACACTTAGATCCCGACAACATTAAGATCAGGTCTCTCCCTGGAGTTTCTTTCCTCTCCCCCAGAGCCTTTGTGTGCTGCTCCATCTCCAGGGACCCCTCAAAGAGGGATCTCATGGAATCGGCAGTTCAGCATCTGTTGGACATTCATGCCATCTAGCCGATTCCAGTAGATCAGAAGAGATGGGTTTACTTAATTTTGTTTGTGATTCCAAAGGCCTTGGGGTGGTGTGGGTGAGCAGTCCTCAACTTGAAAGAGCTCAACAGGCATCTAATATACTGAAGGTTTAAGATGCACTCCCTCCAATCCATCCAAGAGGGACTTCGGGAGGGAGACTTTTTGGCTTTGGTAGACCTGACTTAGGCCTACCTCCATTACCCACCCAACCCAACCACCGTCAGTTCCAGAGGTTTTGCTATGGCAGCTGCCATTTTCAATACAGAGCTCTCCATTTGGCCTGTCATCAGCCCGACAGACATTTACCAAGCTCCTGGAGGCCGTAGCGGCATACCTCAGGTCCTTACCCATAAGGATCCAGAGCTATCTGGATGACATCCTGATAGCATCCTCTTCCCGACCCCAGGCAGAGGAGGATCTGATGTCTACAATCAGAATACTTTGAGAGCGTGGGTTCTCGATAAACCTGGATAAATACCATTTAGTCCCATCGACTCATCTCTTGTATTTGGGGGCAATCATAGACGCTTTGGTGGGTCAAGTCTTCCTCTCCCAAGAGCATCGAGATAGCATAAGGGACGTGACATCACAGATCCTGTCCAACAGAGAGGCTCCTATCATTTTGCTGTCTCAACTTCTTGGCAAGATGATATCATGCATCGGCATTGTCCCATGGGCCCACTTCCATGATAGGGTGGGCAGGACTCAGCAATGAGGGTTCGAGTGCCCTTGCCAGTACTTCTCTCACTCCATTGGTGGCAGTCCCAGGCCATGGATCAGGGTGCTTGTACAGGGAGCCCCAGAGGATTACTATTACCACCGACACCAGTCTGTACAGTTGGGGGGCTCACCTAGGAGTCGAGGTTACCCAGGGGTGGTGGTCACAGGAGGAGCTCACCCACAACATAAATTGGCTGGAGCTCAGGGCTTCCTGCTTAGCTCTCAAGGGTCTAAGACTGACACTCCTACCTGACACTAGTCAGGTAGTCAAAGGGAGAATCCAGTCCCACCCTGTACTCTGTCTGGTCAGAGTAAGGAGGAAATAGTTTTTTTTGGTATCAAGTAGACTGTCTTTCAGAAGATGATGAACAGCTGATTTCGCTTCGATGTCGTTCAGAACCGGGGACTGTTACCGGGAGTGGGGGGAGGTATTCCTCAGTTTTCAACTTGGTCTGCAGAGCTATGAGACTAGAGACTATCCATCCTGGATTCTCCCTTCAACTCCATTTGAAGAGGCGAGTCAGGTAGGACCAACACTCCATTTTTGTAATAATATCATGATGGAAATTATGCAATATGCATAGTTTGCAGAATGATATAATGATGCAAATGATATCACTGCAAATTATATGCTTCTACATTTGACAGATATTTGTGAATAACCTAATATAAAAACAGTTTCTTCTAATTAAAATGGTATATTTACATTGTTAACATGGCATTTAATTTCTTATTTTTCTTGGGTTTTAACATTTTCCTTAGCATATACCTACATATATGGGTGCCTTGGAAAATAATTCTTTGCTCTGCTGTAAGATATGTTACCTTGTGAGGTGAGAACACATTTATTTATAAGAATTAACCTGCACAATCTCAGTTTACTGGACCTCAGTGCAGTAATTTTTGAATAAAATGGAGCAGATTTCTGTGGCAAGTCATGTAATTTGCATAATACCATCAGTTTGCAAATCAAAAATCAGGTAATTTATATCATTTTATTTCAGTTTGCAGGTTTATGTATTGACATTTTTATGCAATTGAACAAAATTTCTACAATGACATACTTACATATTTAACCGACATATAATGTGCTATTTTGTAAATCCTTGTGAATATCCCAGACCCATCTTTCTTTTTTCTTTTTGTTTCTGCACATGCAGCTGAATATACTGATAGTCTTGGCCCTATGCATTATACTTTAGATTGTTACAAATATAATTTTAAGCATACTTAACTGGTCATGGTACTAAAATTGGTAGAGATAAATTTTGAGAAAACCTCCATAAGATAATACTGTAAGAAATGGAGAGCAATCTTGTTGTAACCTTAACCTAATACGGAACCATATTTTAGTTGTTAATTCCTTTGAAATCACAGCATTTTAAATTAAATATATATACAAACAGAAAATTGCTCAGGAAATGCAATAGTCATGCATTTAAATTCAAAAGGAAATATTTCCCAGAAATTAGTAGAAATAGAACTCAAAAGTCTGAAGCAACCACAAATTAAGAAGAAATTTGAGGAATACACTGCTAAAAGTGAAAATGCCAAGTATTACATTGCAACTAACATATAAATAATGTATGAAAGTAAAAAAATGAAGAGAAACTGAAGATGCAGTTTGCTTTAGTCATAAGTAGAAATCAAATCTCTCTATATATTTTGCCAGATATTTGATTAAGTAAAATTAACACTGCCATTACATATTTTTTTATGCTACATTCATTTGCAATGCCTTAAAGAACCACATATATCAAATATATGATAGGATAATAGGATAATATTTTTATTTGCATAAATACAAAGTTTCCTTATGCCTAGCCGGAATAATTGATGAAAACTTTAATTAGACAAAACAGATTGTCTAACTAATTAGACAAAACAAGACCGTGAATTTGTGAGATGGTTCCGTTATTAACATCTTTCCATCTATTATTTTCTTCACGTTTAGTTCTGCTTTTATAGTTTTTAATATTTTAATAATTGTTATGTCAGGATTCCGGCAGTTACTCCAATTAAATCATGAGCCTTGAGCCACACTCCCAAAACTTCAAAGGATTTATTAGAAGTTAACATGCTGGCATTTGCCTGGGCATAGCCAACTCTGAGATACGTAATTCACTGTCACCCTTGACCCTGCTTTCCCCCCACTCCTCTGGGTGTATCATCCAACGAAACACATCCATAGCCAAGTGTCATCAATCATGTTCTCCAATTAGTTTTTTGTGCTGCAGAAGTTTTAGTCATCTAGTCAGTCTCTGAAGAAAATATGAATGGAATGCACTTTCGATTTCACACTGCTGCCTGCTCTTTGAACCCCCCCCCCTTCTTTTTGTTGACAACTATAAAACGTGTATACAAAATGTTTTATGAGTTGACATGTTATATAACGGTTTTAGGTAATGATTGTTTTATATTTATTGTTTTCTTGGATTGTTGTATGCTATCGAAAGTCACTTTCTGTGACATGGATAAATAAATAAAATTGTACAGAAAAACAATACAACAGGATATAAAACAATCTATAACACAAATCCCGTCTAGAATATATGTCTCTTTCCACCAAAGTAAGTAGTATGAAGAAAAAAACCCTCTTTTCTTTTACCTTCATTTTTTCTGGAAATTGTACCTTTAATATGAGTTTCTGGAGAACAATATTAATCCTATTTTCCAATCTCCACTCTGCAAGCATTCAAATCCTCAGGGAGAGGCTAGAGTATCACTTCATACCTGCATGACAAAGAGCCTCTTCTCCCTTGTGAAGATGTGGATTCTAAGTCTACAGTCTGCATAAGGTGATGTTTAGTGGCAATATTTGAGATTTTTTAGTTAACTATAAAACTGCATTTACAAGTATATTACCAATTTTGGAACAAATGACACCAAGGTTCTGAAGAAAAGCCAGAATACATATTGTTCCTTGAAATAAAGAATTGCAATTTACAATTATATATGGTATATAATTGTAAGTACCACGTTTCTTTCTTTTTTGTACACAGGTATTGGATAAGAGAATTCTGGATCATGTTTAAAACAGATACCAATCTTACAAATACTATGGAAGAATTTCAGGAATTGGTGAAAGCTAATGGTGAGGAGATACACTGCCGCCTAATTGACACATCTCAAATGTGAGTGTCAATGCCTTAGTATAGAATCCCCAATAAATAAATGATATGGCCATTGAGGGGGTGGGGGCAGGGAGGAGTTGGTAATTTTTGTATGAAATGATTTCTTCATATGATTAAATGGCAGTGGTTAAACTCATACCTTTTTTTAATTTGTAATGTATATCTGTGGTAATTATAACCATTCATTTAAATCACAGTTTGATATTACAAAAAGTGACTTATGACCATTTTTCATACTTGCAACTGTTGTAGGATCCCCATGGTCATGTTATGAAAACATTGTACAAAGTTGCCAGTATAACTAGGGATACTTTTTATTATTAAAAAAGTAGTATATTTTTACACTTGTGTTGTAAGCCATCCAGAGTTACTTGGATAGTAAGATGGGAAGCATAATCAATTTAATGAATAAATATTAAATTCATGCTAAGAATTCAAATCTATTTTCTAGTAGTAATATAGCATTCATCTGCTAATTCAGTCAGATGATGATATCTTATTAGATAAAAAGTGACAATTTCTAAACTTCTCAACTTTCAAATACACATAATTTTGCCATTTTAGATTTATTTGGTATAGAGATATAAGATACACTTACTAGAAATTAATAAACATTACAGTAGCACCTCTTTTCATTGCTTCTATTTGCATGATTTTGAGACAAAGGAATATGCTAGTAAATATTCTTGCTGGTAAAATTTGATTTTTTTCCCCTTCTTTCTAAAGAAATGCCCGAGATTGGTCGAGAAAGGTAACCCAGAGAATAAAATCTAACAGCAGTAAGAAACGAAAGGTTTCACTGCTCTTTGATCATCTGGAACCAGAGGAGTTGTCAGATCACCTCACCTACCTTGAATTCAAGTCCTTCCGACGAATATCAGTGAGTCAATGACTTTTTATAAGTTAATTGCAATTTTAATTTATAAATAACTTATAAATTATGCAGTTCCTTTGAATAATGCATGTAGTGAGATAAGTTCAGTATAAAAAGATGAAGGCAATGAAGTAATGCTTCCGAAGCAGAATACATTTTCCATCTAATTTTACATTTCTGAGAGAAAGGAAAGAGATTGTGATGATTGTCAATTGATGCATGCTTAATAGTATCCAGTGACCTGTTGTACAACTGACACACTTCCAATAGAATGCAAAGGTAATTAACTCAAATAATTAAGATTCAAAAAAGCTCAAAGTTTTACTATGGAAGATATGAAAATGAAAAGGAAAGGCTTTCTTTTAACAAGCACACTTCTTAAATATTTTGTTTAGAATATAGAAGCAGAGTCCATTTGTTAGTCAAAATTTTGAAGGTGTTGGAAGTATCTCCTTCCAATTTGGTCTTGAATTAAAAGTGATTCAATAAATGCAGTCATATAGGAACAATAGGCAGTGGCACGGGCAATGTTAGAAAGTTCACCTTTCAATTGCGTGTATTGTTTGTGCACCTTGAAATTTAATTGGTTGAAACTTGACTGGCCCTCTCCCTGATTATCATTCAAGATAATGTTGGAAATACATCTTTCTTAGGACAAATGACACTGTTGATGTCTCTGTATGCTTAAGTCCAATTAACTGAAATTATTGTTTGGCATGACTGATTTTCTTCCATTTCTAATTAAAAGTTTCTAATGATTTAATTGGAATACATACACACATACACACAGACACAGACACACAGTCTTGTTGAACTATGATTGGATAAATGGAATATATGGTTGGTAAATAAGGAAGAAAACATACTGTATTGGTAAGCAACTACTGTATATCTAATAGTTGGTTTTCTCTTTAAAAAGTGCTTCTGCTTATGTAAGGCAAGTATACCCAAATTTGCCAGATCTTTTTGTTATTTCACTGTGGTCCATATTACATATAGAAGAATAGTATCTCTGGAAGCAGAGAATGGACTAAGTAGGAGGATTAGCAAAAATCATATCTCTTATTTTGTCTAAGTTGAAGGGTTTTCTTCTAGCAATGAAGCCTGGCCACTTAGCCTATGGCTCTTTCTCCTCCTACCAGTTGCAGTGCCTATGCTTGTGGAAAAACATTGAGATTAAAGCTAATAATATAAACTCAGGTGAACCAAGAAACCTGGCAGGCTCAAAACAAACGCAACTGGCCACCTTGAGCCCATGGTGACCAACATATTAATTTATAGTAGTTTAAGCCAGCAAAACCAATATTCATCAGGAAGGCAAAAATGGAGTAGGATTAGTTTCTAAGCAAGGACAGATCATTATGAATATTGGTTCTTTATCTTCTTTTGCTTGAAAATGTATAGCTGAATTGCTTCAAAGCTGTGGAATGAGTCCCTGGTCAAAGAATCAATATATACGTGTCTCCTCATATGTAAGTTTAGCACTTCAGAAAAGAAACTTTAAAGATTCTCACTTAGTCATGTGTTTGTACTTTTTATTTTGAAGTCTGGTTTCAGGATTTTTCTCATGTGCTTAATTAAAATATAATGGTCATGGAAGCTAGCCACATTTTGTAAACAGCAATCGATTTACACAAAATTGATGTTTAAGCTTGTATAAAGCCCATTTTTCCATTTAGGTTAATGGTTGTTAGCTAAGAACAGCAATGCCTTATTTTTTTTTCAAAATCAGTCTTGATTGCATGGAACAGGCTACTTGGTTGCATAAGAGAGTTGATGATAAATGAATGCTATGATAATTTTATTTATGTACAAATGAAAGAACTATTTTATGCACTGATGTAAAATAAATAAGCATTTGCTTTTGGAAGAGTATATTTCATAGTAGTGTCCATGTTCTGTTGCTTTCTTTTGTTCAGGGCATCATTCCCATAATAATTGTATCAAATATTATAAAAGCCAGGGAAGGACATTTTAAATGAGGCAATATACCTCACTGTAGATCTTGCATGTAAAAATAGAAGGCAAATTTCTGTTTGTATAGAAATTGATAACTAAAACAAGAATCTGATTTTAATAGATGACTTTTTGAAGCAAATTTCATTCTGGAGATTCTTAACGTAGGAATTCTCATGAAAATACTATGTTCTGACTGGAACTATTTTATGTCCACCATAAACACCTTTAAGTGTTTACAGCATTGACATAGCATTAAGAGATTTTCTAATCAGTTTTCTAGAACATTGTTGTTTTTTTAAGTTGGCTAACTAACTTCAGATTATATTTTAATAACTCTGTTTAAATATCCATAAACTAAGTACAGGCAGTTCTCCACTTACGACCACAATTGAGCCCAAAATTTCTGTTGCTAAGCGAGACATTTGTTAAGTGAATTTTGCCCCATTTTACAATATTTCTTGCCAGAGTTGTTAAGTGAATCACTGCAATTATTGAATTAGTAACATGGTTGTTAAGAGAATCTGACTTCCTTGTCGACTTTGCTTATCAGAAGGTCACAAAAGATGATCACATGACCTCGGGACACTGCAACCATCATAAATATAAGTCAGTTGCTAAGCATCTGGATTTTGATTACGTGACCATGGGTTGCTGTAATGATCATAAGTGTGAAAAACATTCATAAGTCACTTTTTTCAGTGCTGTTATAACTTTGAATGATCACTAAATGAACTGTTGTAAGATGAGGACTATCAGTAGAGGTTACATAGAATAATTTAATGGAAAACTATATTTGTTTAAGCTGTCAATTAATGGTTACATTACCTGAAGTTTACAGATTATCAAAACTACATCATAAATGGATGTGTGAAGGACAATCCGACAATGGAACGCTCAATCACACTTTGTAACGGTATTTCACAGTGGGTACAACTAATGGTATTAAATAGACCAACACCACAGCTTCGAGCTGAAGTATTCATCAAGTTCATTCATGTGGCCCAGGTCAGCTCTCTTATGAATTGTTTTCAATTTGTTTTAGTCTTCATTTGTTCATTTAATAATTGGTGTTACATTCAATTCACTATTACCGTCATACCCCTCAAGGCTAACAGTGCCTGCTCTAAATAGGGTCTTTTAGAAGCGCTGCAGTGATCAGTCATTTCCCTTTTTTAAACAGGCTTAGCTGACATTGCCAGTATTGTTGGGATGGGGGCTGAATGGATTGATAGTGAGTATTGTATTGTGAGAAATGCACCAAAGCTGCCAAGAACATTGGTACCAGTGTCCCTAGAAATATGGGAAAAGGAAATGGGCAAGATAAACATATGCCTGGGCGGGCGGAAATCTCTTGGAGCATGAGGCTGGATATCCATCTGTTTATATTAGATACCAATTCTAGGTCTGGTTCTTTTATCTTATCAGATCATGTTTCCTATGGGGGGGGGGAGTCAACATTAAAAGATCTGTAAACTAAAAAAAAGCATTTATCCAACTCAGGGCAAGTGGGTTAGATAACTACAGAGCAAAATTTTGTTAATAACACTGAATAAAATGTATTTAAAACTGTTTTAGGAAAAAGTTCCTTTAAGTATTATTGAGATAATACTCAGTTCAATTATATTAATTTTTTTTAAATACAGAAACTTCATCAGTTGCAAAATTTCAACACATTAATGGCTGTAATAGGAGGTCTTTGCCACAGTTCCATCTCTAGACTTAAAGAAACAAGTTCTCATGTTCCTCATGATATCCATAAGGTTAGTTGTGTTTTTTTCCTGGTTTTTGTTTATTTCATAATATCCGTAATAAAGCTGTGCAAGCAGTTTAGAAAGACACTAAGCAAAGTGAGCTCCAATTTTCTGAATGTGCTGTCGCAAATGTTTAGGCACTGTTTCCTCTTGCCAAGTTACTTCATTTTGGTGGCAATTCCACTGGAAATGTCTTTGTCATATATGTACACATGCTGAGATGGTACCTTGTCATTTCACACCTTGAGCCACAGATTGGACAAAATCTCTGCCATTTTGTTATGCATTCCTGTGAATGATTTGCAGAGTTTTAATTAATATACCATATTTTGACTATAAGACCACTGAAGACCATTCATCAATGTGTTGTCCAAGATTAATACATGATAAAGATGATGAACTTCATGAATATTTAAAAATCATTATTCTATTGAGAAATTTAGAAATAATGATTAAGTTGTTCTGGCCAAAGTTTGCCACTGAAACGGTATTTTCAAAAAGTGATAGTTTATATAGGATTGGGGTATATGATTGCAAAATGCTTGAATATATGTCTGAAATGACTATAACACTAAGCACATAATTTAATAATACATATAAAACATGTCATAATGACTCTCTGGGAAGAGGAACTGCAAATTTAGATTAACTGAATCTGGGTAAGTGACTTTAATCTTAAATTTGATGACTGAAATTCTAATTTGTAAGGCTGACTTTCAATGGACTATAGCAGTGGTTAATTTAAATTGAAAGCAGAGACTTTGAATCATTTCTTTACAGTTATGTTCAAGTTTGTGAATTCTTCTTATGCTTAATTATTACTGGGCATTATATCAAAACAGATATTATACTTGTGTTTCATTGCAAACTTGCTACAGTAATTTATTTATTATACTAAAGTGAACCCAAATTATGAACAAAGCTGACTGAATTTGCTTTTGTTGGTTTGCCTTTAGATATTCAATGAAATGACTGAATTGCTGTCATCTGGTAGGAATTATGATAATTATAGACGTGCTTATAACGAGTGCAGTAACTTTAAAATCCCTATTCTTGGAGTACACCTGAAAGATTTAATTTCTCTCTATGAAGCTGTGCCAGATTACTTGGAAGATAAAAGAGTTAATATGCACAAATTGTATTCTTTGTATAATCATGTCAATGAATTGATACAGTTGCAAGAGATAGGTCCCCCTCTGGAAGCTAACAAAGATCTTCTCCATCTCCTTACAGTAAGTCTCTATATTTATAGATTGTGTTTTATGTAATCTGCTTTTACTTTTTAAAAAGTTACACCAGCCTGAGCTATTTTAAATAGCTCAGACACTTTGAAAGTCTCTGCTCAACTCTATACGATGCAAATATTTAACTGATAGGAAAGCAATTCTTGTCATTTCTGGAAAAAAAAAACAATGTTAATTTGTTTTCTACATACTCTGTGGTTCCACTGTTTGTGAGCTAGCTCTTACTGTAGTTGCTTAGTACTGTAACACACGTTTCTGTAGAATACTTTAGTTAGTGTCAGAAACAGCTTTCATTTATTTTGGATTTCTGAAGGTTTAGAATTATCTAATTTAGAATTTAGAATTCTGAAGGATGAGACCTTAATCCCAAAACATATTTCTAATTATACTTCAGTAAAATGATACCTGCTCAGACTTAATAGATTGTAATCTTCCACAAAGCTAGTGTAAAGCTAAGTGAGAGTATAAATACAAATGCTTTATTGTGAAAAATGAAATAGGATTTATTTACTAATATTGCTCCTCTAAAAATATTGTCAATATTTTTTAAAGCTCAATTCAATGATTGAAATGAATCCACACAATAGTTAACATATAAAATCAGGACATTCCTGGGCTAGGCCAGAGGTAATGCTGACAAAACTGTCAGTATTATGATTACTCTAGCCTCTCCTAGCTTGGTACTTTTCAGGTGTATTGTAACCAGAATTCCTAGAATTCAACAGATTGGGGAGGAATGGTCTTATCCTCTCCTGTCTCCTTCATACCCATCCCCATTTCAATGTAGCTATGAGAAGCTTCTGGTTTCATTTGAACTTCACTTAACAATAGTGAGTGGCATCATACCATGCTCCTTGGGGGGAAAATTGATTAGACTTCATATTAGGATTTGTACAGGTAGCTCTGGACTTATGTTTGGTTGCTTAGTGCCTGTTCAAAGACCTGCCTTAAGGCTATATATAACCTGAATTTAAAATTCCAACAGAGGCCCATCCCCCAACAATCACATGATCAAACTTCAGGCACTTGGCAATATGGCCACATTTATGATGATTTTCAGCATCCCGGTAATCATTTTATTATGGTTTTTGGTAAAAAGAACAAGCCTTTGGGGAATAGTTGGTTTGCTTAATGACTATTTCACAACTGTGGATTCACTTAACAATCACTATAAAAAAGGTGTAAAGTCGATCACGTAACCAACTCATTTTAAGATTGTTATGACTTACAAGTGTAATGGGCAGACTCCACTACAGTTTTAAATTGACTACCACTACATATAATATCTTCAACTTTTATTTAACTGACTCAAACCTTCCTTTCCCGCCCTCCCCATCTCTCTCTCTCTCTCTCTCTCTCTCTCTCTCTCTCTCTCTCTCTCTCTCTCTCTCATACACACACACACACACACACACACACACACACACACTCACTCACAGACATATAGTTAACTCTCTTCAGATCAGCTTGAGCAGTCAAAGAGGAAGATTGTAGGAACAATAACAATTATATATTAATTTGCCCATGATCATTTCCTGATTCATTGTGATATTTTCTGGAATCTAGGACAAGGAAGAGAATTGTAGTTGTCTTTCCTAATATCATAACTGTGCGCAGATATCGCAGATGGAATAAGGCCTCTGACAAGAAGTTATTTGATTGAATTGGAAAGTTTACATCCCATGAAACTGAAATCCTCATATGTAATCTATTAAGATTTGAAAGTGGATAACTTTCCTTCAAACTGGATCTGAACTATTTAGACACTGCTTACATTTCCAATATTTTTTTGTTTTCAGAAAAATATATTTAAAATGAGAGTAGAATTTGAATAATTTGCTTTGGGAGTAAGGTCAATTGCTGATATATCAGCTGGAAAAATGTGTTCATTTTTTTCTTGTGATGTCTAGGTTCATGATACCTAGGTGTTTGTCTTATATTAGAGACAGATTCAGAAAAACAACATTTTTGGAGAGCACTATAGCATTTTGAAATAACTGTTCTTGTGTTTATTTTCAGTTGTCACTTGACCTTTATTATACAGAAGATGAAATTTATGAACTTTCATATGCACGAGAGCCAAGAAGTCACCGGGCTGCAGTAAGAAATTTTGCTCCAAAACAGGATGTAGAGATAATTTAATTATATTACAACAACAATTATAAATAATTTAATATAACCTATAGTGGTAATTACTAAATAAGTACAATGCAGATACACTTATATGTTGCAAACATACATTTATATGTCACAATAGCAGTGTTAGCTACTAATATATATACTATTAATTGCAAAAATTTAATTGGCAGTCAAAAGTAACAATAACACCAAAAACTTTTCTTAGCCAATCAGTGTGCTACAACAGGGAAGCTTCCACTTAGACCTCACTTAGCTTTTTTGAAGGGAAGAGGCATGTGAAAGTAGAGATTCAAGGCATTTTTAAAATTACGATTTATCTGTTAAGCATAACAGTCAGAGGATATAATACAAACAAGCCAAAAATATTGCCCTGCTAGTAAAATACTGTAGTAGTTACACAATAATCTTTAACCATGCCATCATTTTTAACAGTCTTGACCAGAAGAGTCTGCAAGGGCTATAAAATGAGAACTGGAGCTGCATGTGCTAATGGAATCATAAATATGAAACATCGCCAAATCACAAAATATCTATGTTTAGAAACTTCTGACCTGCAGTTTCTTTTTCACAAGATCAGCAGTATCTTGGAAAAGGCCAATCCAGACCACACCATCAGCAATAATGGCAAGCGGTGGTGGTTGTAAATATATTTTTAAGAGACCTTCTAAAGCTGAAGGTCTTAAATAATAAAAATTATAATAAAGCTGACTGTCTTCTTTGTATTTCAGTATTGGGCAACTCCCAATTTGTTTTTGTGACTTTCAGAGCGTTCCTTTCCTCAGTAATGCCTCCATTTCTGGTGACATTAGTTCTGTGCCCCCTCAGAAATACTTTTTTTTCACAAGTTGCTGAAAAAAAGAGGATAGATTATGATCCACTAATTTGCAATTCCCTTTCTACCTTTTTCAAAGGCAATGCTTCACTAGAGGTACTTTGCTGTATGGTAGTGGCTAATAATGCTATCCAATGTTGTCCTGGATTGAGATTTCCAGACACAGTATTAATAAAAGTGTAGTTTTGATAATATGGGAAATTAATTAAATTTATGTACCACTCAACTCTCAGCAACTCTACATAAAATATGTAAGAAAAAATATTATTAAGTTGAATTACCCAAACTATCTGGCAGTTTCACTTTATTAATGCTTAGTAATACCATACTAAATATTGAAATATTCTAAACATATAACTGTTTTTAAACATTTATGAATGCTTTTCCTCAGTAAATATCCAAATACATTTTACTATTTTAGCCATTGACACCCTGTAAACCACCAGTTGTAGCAGATTGGGCATCTGGAATTGCACCCAAACCTGATCCAAAGATAATTAGTAAGCATGTCCAGAGAATGGTAGATGTAAGTATGCTATTTTATTTATTATAAATGTTTTGAGTAGTCTTCTGGGTTTTGATTCATGGTATGTTAGTTATGGGGTTCATTGCAGAATTCCCATTTCCATTAGGATATTACTAGAAAATATGTACTATTGCTGTGCTTCTATATCTTAATACCTTCTTTTTCATTTACTGTATTTCATTCCAATCCTTTGTTTGGATACCCCTGTAAAAGCACTTTTTCAAACAAAGAGGCTAGGAAAGATATATGGCAACCCCCTGTCTATATACTATCATTCCCAGCGGTATTAGGCCATTATGCACTTACACTAAATAAAATCTAGCATTGGGCTTCATGATAAGATGTTGTTTGCTGTCTAGTTTAACCCTTTGTCTCAATTCCTGATGTGAAGGAACATTTCTGCTGGCAGCTCCCCATGATACAAATCCAGAGAAGTGGATTTCAGAGTAACCTAAATTAACACTTTTTTTTTACACCATTGCAAATGCAAATCTAAGACCTGGCTACAAAACTTTGAAAAATGTGCGTAAACTCAGAGTAAATGGTTAAGGTACCAGTCTAGAAAGCAGGAGACTCTTAAGTTTTATATTTATTTATATTTCATGTTTCTAGTCCCATCTTAACCATAAAAGTGACTGGGTGTCTTTGAGTCAGTTCCTCTCTCTCAGCCTAACCCACTTCACAGGATTGTTGTTATAAGGAAAGGTTTGTTGGATATGTTTGCTGCCATGAGTTGTTTATAAAAATAATAAAGGTGGAATACAAATAAATAAATAGTATTTTAACAATTAAAGGTAAAGAAAGAGAGCACTGCACAAAAAGGCATTTGTACCATTTGATGTTAGAACGAAATTATTTGCCAAGTTAGGAAATTTATATGACATTTTTAAATAAATACTTGACTAAGCTGCATGTTGTATATTATATATTATGCAGAGGACTAAGTGGAGACCTTATATTTTAGTAGAGAGTGCAGAAGCTAAGTACTGCATATAAATGAAACACTTTTAAATGCCAGATAATTTTTAATGAATTTAAAGGCGAAATTGATTTTTCTTCATTATATGGTACCATTCTAAAAAGTATTTTAAAATTAAACCGTACAAAACATCCAAATCTCTATATAGCTATTTGTATATTAAATGCTATTTCATAGAACTAGAAGGAACAATATAGCCAATATAATCAATTTCCTAGTCAATTAAGGGAACTGCAAGTAGTATTTGATTTATTTCAATTACAGCTTTTCTTATTTTCCTATTACTTCATGCAGTCTGTTTTTAAAAATTATGACCATGATCAGGATGGATATATTTCTCAGGAAGAATTTGAGAAGATTGCTGCAAGCTTTCCTTTCTCCTTTTGTGTAATGGATAAGGACAGGTATTTACTAATAAATGTTCTCTGATTATGTTTATATGTATATCATTATTTAAAGAAAGTATTGGATTTGTATAATATCTCACAGAATTGTACATACTTATATTGCTTCCTTAAGTTTGATTTTCACTCGGGATGGGATTTTCAAGATCATTCCTTGAGCTTTTGACCAGTTGACAAGGCTTTTCTACTCTCTTCGTGTGGTTGTTGGATAATGTCAGGGAAAAGCTTGGTTTCAAATAACTAACCTTAGAGCATGTTTATAAATGCTTTTATATTTAAAGTGTACATTTTTCCTCCTCCTTTAAGCTTGTTCATTCTCTCAGTCACTTAGAATTCATATAGTGCAATTTGAAGGTACAGTGCTAGTAATTATTCCCCGGCCTGCTTCTTTGTTTTCATAATTGTACAGCATGTTCAGGATTTTTTGTGAAGGCTGTTTCTCAAGCTGGTTTTGAAGAACTATTAAGGAGCCCTTGTGATCTCTTTGGCAGGATTGTGTAGGGTGTGTGCCTGTGTGTTTCATGTACTTCTAGATATTCTTTGCTGTGAAATTGAATTAGTGCTTTTATATTAATGAGCTGGCAGATGTGTGGCTGAATTGAAATGAAGGGGGGAAGACATTATTAACTCCTTCTGCTTTAGATGCATTAAGCCTCAATTGACCTTTTTGTTTGTTTGTTTGCAGGGAAGGTCTGATTAGCAGGGATGAAATAACAGCCTATTTCATGAGGGCCAGTTCAATCTATTCAAAATTAGGTCTTGGCTTTGCCCACAATTTCCAGGAGACCACTTACCTAAAGCCGACATTCTGTGACAACTGTGCTGGATTTGTAAGCATGGGGATAGGGGGTATTTGAAAAGTAAAATTATATCTCATAATGTGTGTAACAAATTGTTATCAAGAACTGTTCGGTTGCAATAGTATCTCCAGCTTTTTGTTACTATGGAATTTGTTTCATTTCATTTTTGTGCCTTTAATACTTTAATTACTGTTAATCAGAATGGGCCATATCCTCATTAAGGAGGTGCATGCTTTGCATAATTAAGGTTTTAGGCAGGGGTGGGATTCAAATTTTTAACAACCGGTTCTGTCGGCATGGCTTAGGTGGTGGGTGTGGCTTGGTGGTCATGTTATTGGCTGGGTGTGGCCAGCTCAATATCACTCACATCAAGGCATGCATCTCCTGCCCTGGCCTCTCATGACTGTGGGGATGTTGCAACAGTTGTAAGTGTGAAAAATGGTCATAAGTCACTTTTTTCAGTGCCATTGTAATTTTGAATGGTCACTCCACACAAGCAAAGTACCAGCAAAGGAGGGGAAAAAAACTCCAGAGATGTTCCTGAGACAGGAAGTCTAGTCCTGCCAAGAATGTCATAAGGGTTAATGGAGAGGCAGTTTCTGTAAGTAACACCAGAATGTTTCCCTCCTGCCTTCCTTACAGGATTAGGCCAGTAATAACTGCTTCTCTGAATTGCTTAGAATGTTAACAACCGGTTCTAGAGAATAGGTGTGAACTGGTAGAATCCCACCTTTGGTTTTAGGTCAAATTTCAGAAATTTTCAGTTTTAGCTGTGGAGCTCTGAGTCTTCTGACAATGTGTAAATCCTGAAAAATTGCTGCTGCCACATCATATTAACCATTGGTCTGATTTAATGGAAACATCATTCCATCATGGAATTCAATAGTATTGAATGTAAATACTATATGTCAACATGTAGATGTCCTTTGAAGGCAATGACTAGGCCTTCTAATCTTCTATAAAATGGCTGCATCATGTGTCATTAAGCTTTGAAAATATATTTGATTATTGAAACATCTGTGTTCTTACCAAAGGAAGCTTAGTATGATATCTCAGAGCTCTTGACTCTTTGTTTCATAGCCTTCACTTATAATTTGTGGCAGCAGTTCCTGATATCTTCATGAGAAGAAGATTTAACTGTCCCTGACTATAATACTTGATAAGAACCATTTAAGCCATCTAGTTTAACTTTTCTATGCATAGGAATCAAAATTAAAGCAACCAGTTGCTACCTAACCTACTCTTAAACACATTAACAAAATTACCATCACTTTGGTTAATTGTTCTACAACTGTGGAACAGCTGTTACTGTTAAGGATTATATTTAACAGTCAGTACTTTGCCTTCCTTTAACTTAAATCTTTTATTGTGTGTCCTGCACTTTGGAATGAGACAGGAAAAATATGACTTTCTTTGATGTGATACCCTTTCAAGTATTTGAAGAGTGCTTTCATATCCTCATTCCACAAAATAATGTTTACTAAAACCTAAACATACCCACCTCCTTTGATTCTCTTCGTAGTTTTAGTTTCTTATGTCCTTCTTTAAATCTGTTCCTATTTGTCTGAATCCTTATTAAAGCGTAATGCCTAGAATTAGATACAGTAGTTGGGGTAGGAGTCTGATCAAAGCAGAATAAAATGGAATTATTACTACTTATGATTTGGAAATCATGCTTTTTTTTAACATAGCCTAAAATGTAATTGCCTTCATTATATTATAATCTTTTGCCTTCTTTGCAACTATATCATTCAGTTTTCAAACTGCAATTCTAAGACCTCTTTTGAAAGTAATTTTGCTAAATCATTGAGCAAAACTCCCTGTCTCCCTTATTATAACTGTGCATTTGATTTTGTTTTCTAAGTGAAAAACTTTGTAGTTTTTTTCTTAAATTTCATTTGGTTACTTACATTATACCAGTATTTCTCAAACCTACTTGATTATTGTTTTTCATTTAATTTCTCTCATGTGGTATATTACCAATCCCCCAATTTTTGTTATTTTGCAAATTTTATAAGTGTTTCTTCTACTTCACCATTCAAAATAATAATAAAAAAGAGTAAAATTCCAGGATTGATATTTTTTTTATAAGAATTTTATTAATTTTCAATAAACAAACATACACATACAAAACACAAAACATAAAAACATAAAACATAAAAACACAAAACTTTTTGGAAAGCGGCTTAGTCCCGGGTTACATCTTTTTATGCAGACATAAATTCAAATTCATGCTCACATTATATATCATTTCATATCTTATTTACCATTCTACATTTTCTATATAGCTTCTCCCCTCTTTTCACTCTCTTAATTCTATTTTATTTATTTCATCTCAATTTAAATCATTATGCTTATATCTTTTGTCTGTTCTGTTTCAATTATCTATTATCTTTTCTCATTGACACAAAATTTCTCCTGTAATCACTGATTGAAGTATGACGCCTTTATATCTTTCCCCTAAATAACACTTAAAATAATATATAATTTTCATTCTGATTCTGCTTAGTACACTTTGCAGTTTTCTAACATTATTTCAAATACAAATACAACAATACAATCGTATGTACTTTTGCAGAATCTCTTTTTAGATTATATTTTTACCCATTATCTCTGAATGAATCCTGTTTCTTTACATCTTGTTTCAAACCTTTGTAACTTCTCTTCCCTTTTTCCCTTTCTTTCTTTTCCAATCTAGTCTTTTTACCCCCTTGTTTAATCTCCACCCTCTTAATCTCCACCCTCTTCTGTATTCCTCTTTTCTGTTGCTTTCTAACATTGTAATGATTTTTCATCCTATTTTTCCCTTTTTTGGTTGTTTTTTTAAGTCTTAATTTCTCCTTTCTCTTTCCCCTCTTTCCCTTTTCTTCCCAAATTAGAGTTGCTTGTTCATTAAAGATGGCTTCTTCTTCATCCCAATCTCTTTGTTCTTGAAGTTTCTGATAGGAAGAAATTGCCATTTCTGAAAAATAAAAAACAGATCCAGAAGAGCCCTTCCCATCTTGTTCCTCTTTTAGCTTTTTAAATTCCTTTTTCAGATCATCAACAAATAGTACCATTGTGAAAAATTTTTAAAACAACCCAAATGTTTTTAGTCTTTCAAATAATAATTTCCAAAGTCCCAAAGTCACCAAGCAATCCAAATACACACAAACTTTCATTTAAACACTTTCTTCTTTTTATACTTTCTCTTCCTGGGGTTACAGTTGCAAAGTTCCAGTTAAAAAATATCTTTTAGAAGTCTTGTTACAATTTAGCTCTAGTCTAATAAGTTCCAAGCAGCCTCTCCAGCAGAATCTTAATATTAATTCTTTTCCTCTCCCTTCCCACTTACAGCAAAAAAAAGAGGTTTTTAAAAAAAATTTCCCCAAGTTTTAGAAATCTTTATTGTCCCCTTGGCTTTACCTGTTGATGCCAAAGCGGGCTTTTCTGATTTCCATCTGCTGTCACTGTAAGGAAGGAGAATGAGAGAAAACAAACTTTCCCTTTTACTTTTGTTCGCCGCTTTTTCTGTCTTCTTTGGGAGCGATGTATCTTTAGTAAAATTTAAATTTCAGGGTATTTAAATGTTCCTTATTGTCCCGGGTCAGCCAGTAACTTTCACTTCAAACTTCCTCCTGCACAATTCTTATCTGGCTGAAGGCTTCTTTGTGGTGGCCATTGCTGACCGCCGCTCCACCGCCTTCGGAAAAGGGAGTTAAGCCGGCTGAGGAGGGGGGTTGCGATTCCCCCAGACCCCTGCCTGGTTCTCCCCTATCTTCAGCTACCCCTACAGGGTAACTATAGCCTCCAAATCCGAATGGATCGGGGGCACTCCAGCAGCGAGCACGGCAGAAACTGCGCATGATTGCGGATTCCTGCCGCCGCCGAAGCCTTGCAAACCAGAAATCCAAAATTCCAGGATTGATACTTGTGGCACCCCACTTAACACCTTTTTTCAATTTGATGATGAACCATTGATGAGTGCTCTTTGAGTGTGATTTACAAGCTATTTAGTTTGCCATGCCATCTATCCACATTTAAATAATAAGCATATTATAGGTACATTGACAAATTCTTTGCTGAAGTCAGAATACACCAATAGTAACCCTGCAATTTATGAAGGAAATTAACTAATCAAAAAAAGTTACAGGGTCTGGCTAGATTTGTTAGTCTGACTATATTAACAAATCTATTATTACTTCTGATAATTGCTGCATTTTATTTATTTATTTATTTGATTTGATTTGTCAATTGCTTACAAGATAATAGGTATAAGTATAAACATGAGTAAGAATACATAATTTTGTAATGTTTCCAATGTTTTGTAGACTTATACTTTCAGTATTTCTAAAATCTTGTCAAATATTGATGCCACAGATCATGGTTCTTCCTCTCCCGTTTCTGTTTTTTGTACATAAATTCAGATTTTCATTCTTTCAGTCATCTTGTCCATTGTTTTTTGAGAATATCTCAAAGGTAATACGTAAATAATTTCAGTATCTTAGGAAGTGATTCATTTTGTCCTAGAGATTAAAGTAAAGCAATATTCCTAATCGTGTTTCTGTCAGCTTCAAAGTTTAGTCCTTCATTTTGTGTTTCACTATTTCTTAGTAGAGTACATATTTTGTTGAAGAATACTGAACTAAACAGGAATTTGATAGTTCTGTGTTTGCTTTGTTTCCTGCTACACTTTTGTGTTCTTTACATATCAGTTGATCTTTTGTTTTCCATTGTACATACCTGAAAAGACCCTTTTTGTTATTAGCATTCTTTACTAGTTTCAGTGCATTCTGCATTTTCCCTTTCCTGACACAGTTCTAGAGTTTTCTGTTTATATGATTTCTTTGTAATTTGATGCTACTTCAATTTTCTTTATGTATCCTTCCCCCCTAGTTTTCACTAAACTTTTTGTACAGCTACATTGATATCTTCCACAGTGCTTTTCATTGGAATTTTTGCACTTGTGCTTTTGACATCTCTTACTTTAGAAATTTACATCCATCTTGAGTTTTTTCCCTCTTAGCTTCATCTACTGTGGGATCCTATTATCCTTGCTTTTAAGTTTATTAATATTTAAATTTATGCATTTAAAATCCAGGTGCTTTTTACAACATTGCCAAATTCATTCACTTAGACTTATAAACAGGAATGCATACACTGTAACTCTAAGACATGCATCCTATGTATGTATTAGAATTACATACCTTCCTTTCTCCCTTGCTTCAGTTCTTGGAACAAAGTATATTGTTCATTTGCTATATTTCAATCATAACAGTGTCTTCAGATGATTCATTATACCTGTTAAATCATATATTTTCTTCTGTACTACAAACACTTTTTGGTTATTTACCATATTCTGAGCATGAATATGAAGGCATGCAAAGCTACCCATTTCTAACACTTTTAATCTCAGGGATGATTTAATAGTATTATGCTAATACTATTGAGACCTCTTGGTAAAAACAGCTTTTTGAATTCCTTTTACTGAAAGTAGCTGTAATATATATCAGGAAAAAAGATCAGTATTTAAATCTTGATAATGGTCCATAGACCAGTAACTAACTGTTCTTAAACTTGTATAAATTAAGTTGAAACACCTGTATCTTCTCTTGATCATTTTAAATGCTGTTCACAAATCAAAATGCTATGAAAATTGTAGAGAATGGTTAATAATTAGCTAAGATATATATATAGAGAGATTCAGAATATTTTAGGTTGTGTCTATTATACTGTTTTGGAAAGATTTTTAATTTTTTTGGGGGGGAGGGGAGGGAAGAGGCTTTCTTCTTTCATTGGTTTCCTGCATGGTATTTTTACCTGCTTATATTGAGGGAAAATACTGTTTTGAAATAGAAATAGAAATAGCCATACATCTTACATTTTTGATGATTTCATGAAACTGAACTTTGAAATAAGAGTTAAAACACCTCTTAAATGTATGGTTTAACTTGAATGCCATATTATAATGTGTTTTTCCTTATCTTTTTAGCTTTGGGGTGTTATTAAACAAGGATATAGGTGCAAAGGTAAAATAACTTTGAGTTCAATCATCTTTGATTGCAAATTGTCCATTGTTGTATCCCTTTTTTCATTTGAATAACAGATTTAAAATTATTTTAGGAATAGGATTTTTAGCATAATAAACTAGAACATAAAAATTTCCCTATCTGTGTTGCTCCACTGCTTTGTTCGTTTCCTGGGTAACTGCAAAATCTGGGAGGAAACCATTGGGAATATATGCAGAGATTGTTACATCACTTCATGTTCATCTTAGATTATTAACTGGCAGGTGATTTTATTAAAAGGTATAATTTGACTTTTAGTTAAGTAGCAATACCATGTAATACTGTTCTATATTTTGATTGCTTAAAAGTATACTTTAAATGCATTAAAGGTATGAAAAGGGCTTATCCCTGGTAAAACCCACATAGCCCTGAATTACAGTTCATGTAGCGTTTCCTTGGTCTTTGCAAAATTTGGAAAGAACAGAACAGAACAACAGAGTTAGAAGGGATCTTGAAGGTGTTCCAGTCGAACCCCCTCTCCGCTAGGAAAGCCTATAGCATTTCAAACGGTGGTCCAATCTCCTCTTAAAAACTTCCAGTGTTGGAGCATTCACAACCTCTGGAGGCAAGTTGTTGCACTGATTAATTGTTCTAACTGTCAGGAAATGTCTCCTTAGTTCTAGGTTGCTTCTCTCCTTGACTAGGTTCCACCATTGCTTCTTGTTCTACCCTCAGATGCTTTGGAGAGTAGCCTGACTCCCTCTTCCTTGTGGCAACCCCTGAGATATTGGGACCCTGCTATCATGTTACCCATAGTCTTTCTGTTCAATAAACTAACCAGTTTAATTTAGGAAGTAGGAAAGGAGTTGAGGTAGAAGAGTAATTAATATGTGGGATTAGTATTTTACTTTTTGCCACTAACCTAGTAAGCTGACTTTGTTTTTATTTGTTTGAAGACTGTGGAATGAACTGTCATAAGCAATGCAAGGATCTAGTTGTATTTGAATGCAAGAGAAGACCCAAAATGACAGCTATGGATAACAGTCCAGCATCAGCTCTTGCATCTAGCCTCTGTCCCATGGGACTTAAAGAGCATATGCATGGTAAGTTCAGTTTAATGAAACATTTTGGTATCATTTGTTACTCAATAGTTTGTCTATTTTTTAAGAATAATAATAGTTAAGGTTAATATGTATTAATAAGATTAATAGTGATTAATCTTAAGATTAATAGTGATTTTCAAAATGGCCTTCCATTGTCCATATACCAGCAAATTCCATCCACTCTGCAAAAATTCATCAGGTCTTCAGAAGACATATCTACTTAGGGGACAAATGTTATGTGTAACCTTGGATAGTGAATGATCACCTTTTCTATGTAATATCTTTGTTTTTGAAGCCAACACAATTAATTGTCAGTACTAAACCAAGTAAGCAGTCAGTAGAACTGTATTACAGGACAGGGAGATTCTCTTTTCAATATTTCAGCATAAAGACAATGATAGTAGTTAAAAATATTATCTGTAATTAATGTCTGAATTCAAGCTAGAATTCTCATCGATTTACAAAGACATATATCATTGAGGGTTGTTGTTTTTTTACATCTGATGTCTAATAGGTTCAGGTTTCTGGGTTCTATAATCTCCCAGGACTTGAAATGGGCACCTAACATTAGAGCCATCATTAAAAGAGCGCAGCAAAGAATTTGTTCTTCTTGTATCAACTCAAAAAGCTCAGAAAGAGAGCTGAGAAAATATCTATAGACCCCTCACATCCTGGACACAAACTGTTTCAATTCCTCCCCTTAGGATACTGCTATAGGCATTACATGCCAAAACAGAAGCTATTTACCCATGTAGGGTTATATATTCCTATTCTCTATTATCCTTCTCATCTTTTCTTTTACCTTTTATTATTGATATCTTATGATTATATTACTTTGTTGTTTATATGTACTCTGAGAGCTTATGCACTGGAGACAAATTCCTTGGGTCTCCAATCACACTTGGCCAATAAAGATTTTGTTCTGTTTTCTATTTCTGTTCTATTTTATTTTATTCTACTCTACTCTACTTCACCCTATCCCTATCCCCTAACTCATAAAGAAATTCTTTAGAGATTCATAGTACCATTTGGGTTGATGGAGATTTATTGAAAAATCCTTTTGGACACACAGCTTAGTTTGCCAGCACTTTATTAGAAGGTATTTGTGATATATATATTTTAGACCAGTGGTCGCCAACCGGTGGGCTATAGCCCACTGGTGGGCCATGAGAAAATTTTGGTGGGCTGCAGAGAAATCTCACCCCCAGAGCACCCCCCAAAGCAATTATTCCAGGCTGCGCAGAAACACAAGGCGGTGCAGCCCACATGGTCCGCAGGAACCTGCCCCACCCATTATGAGCATGTCATTCCATAATTTTTTTCTGTTATAAATCTTGCATATTCTTAAGCAATCACTAGTAGCATATAAATGTTTCTGACCAAAAAGCACTTAGTTGTAAAGACAATATTATTAATATAATGGACAAATTATCTGATGAAATGTTTAGTAATGTTAGAAATAAAGGTAAGGAAGTACAGTAAATATGCTCTTTAGATATTTCCTTTATTATTTTCACTGAGAATATTGTGTAATTCATTTTGATCCTTACTGCTCAATGCTTGTGTTTTATGTTTTCCACACCTTAGGGCTGGAGGAAGGAGGGTTTCCATTTCCTAATGGCGAGATGGTTGAACATAATGAAGGCAGCAAAGATAGAACTATTATGCTCATGGGAGCATCAGCTCAGAAGATCTCAGTAAGGTTAAAACCATCTGTGGTACACAAGGGTACACAAACTGATGTAATGATGACACCCAGTAATGAAGTGTGTAATCTACAAAGAGAGTCTGGAACATCATCTGAAAGTAGTTTTCTCCAGCCATCTCCTGTGTTTCCATGTCCAAGTCCAATTCTTGGCCGGAAAAAGGCATATGTGAAATGGGAAAATAAGGATTGCAGTCAAAAAGTGAAGGAAGATCCACAAACACTAAAACCCACATATCAAGAACTAGAAAAGGTATGAAACAGCTTTGAAAACTGCACAGAATAACTAAGACTATGCGTTGACCATGTAAACTCTGTTGCTGTGAGTTTGAAGTATACAAACAAGAGTACTTTTTTTAAATGGGAAGAAATTTTGGCACACCAGCCCCTTATGACAGTAAGAATTAGTGGAATAAGTGCAAAGATCCTGTAGTTAGATTCCTTGAATTTCTGGTTTTTAAATTGCCATTTGAATTAAAAAGGATAATATTTCCAAAATTAATACAGGTAGCCCTCAAGCTATGTGCATTTAAAGTTACCAAAGACATCCCCCTCCAAAGCTACATATGACCCCATTTCAAAGTTTCAACAGATGCAGCAGCCCTGTGGTCATTTGCCCTTACGACCCACCACAAGGTTGCTCCAGCACCCTTCCATTTCTCTCCCCACATTTCACTCCACCAGAACCCAGAAGCTCTTGGACTCCCCATATGCTCATTGCACACAACGCTTACCTTTCAAAGCTCTCCCTACGTCATATTGTGGAAGGAGGGCAGACTGTGTGTCCCTGGGATGTGATCCAAATGTGTCCACCATTTTGTTATGTCTGCTTGTGGGCAGGGAGAATATGGTGGCTGCCAGACGAACTGCTTCATTTTACTGCCTTAAGAGAGGTCTGCACAGTGCTTCAAAAGCTTCTGAACACCACTGTGCAGACCTGGGCCTTGTGGCAGCAACCTGAATGTGGCTGCCATTTTGTCCCCACACCCACAAAAGCCTCAAGACAAACTGCTTTGTTTGTGTGGGATGGGGAGGAGGGCGTGGGATCCAGTAGGGCAGGAAAGCACATCCAAGGCCTGAGGGGACCCCGAGTGGTGGGAAGTGGAGTAGAGGGTGCCTCAGGAGCTGGCGGCAGGTTACATGTGGGCTAGGGAGATGCTGCAATATGAACTTGGGCCTGCTCCAGGCCTGCAAGTCTTTCCCCACCTCTAAGGCACTCCATAACCCATGCATAACCCATAACTTGAGTTATGTGGAGAGCCATTAACCATCACCACCTTCCTCATTTCCTGTAGAATTGAAAACTTGGGTAGGAAGAAGATTCATCAGTTAAAATAAGGATGTTTTTTTCCAGTTACTTAGATGATGCTGTTTGTAAATGAAAGCATGTGTTCACCAAGCTCTCTTTTCTTAGAGTCAATTGTGGTAGTTGCTCTCCTCTTGGGCAAACAACTGTGTATCTTTCACTCCATTTACTGCTCAAGTCACATAATTCTTAAACTAACATGCCTTTTAGGCAAATGTTCCTACTAACAAAACTAAACATTCAGAAACTATTTGTTCTGATGGTATATTTTTGTTTAGGAAAGAAATGTTCTAACTGCAGAGAATGAAACTCTCAAGCTGCGCCTTAAACAAGCTCATAAGAAGATTGAATTCCTCAGCATCCAACGAAATCACATACTGGACACTAGGGAACATGGAGATTGTTTGTAGTTTAGAAGAAAGACATAGTGAGGAAAAGGATAAAGCCAACGGGTTGTTTGAGTGTATTTAAGTGCATGCAATTAACTCTGTGCAGCATGGCAGGAATTTAAAGAAAGATTGTCTTATTTTGATTGCTATTAGTACTTTTGGATGTATATATTTTGTGCTGTCAGTTTAACTAGTTTGCCTTCTGTTTGGCTGAAAGGACATTGTTTGAAGTCCCTGTTATTTTTAGAGCAAGGGACACACCTGTTGCCAAAGTAACCAAACTGCATTATCAAACTAGGAATGTGTACCGTAAGCTAATTGTTGCTAATTTTGGCAATGCAAACTTGTAAATGGGCATGGTTTTTTATTTGAAACTTAACTTCACAAATGTTGCTGCTTGAATAGGCACATGAGTCAAACAGCCATTTCCATATTCTTTTTGAATTGGTTGGTCTCTTTTTCCAAGGATGCTCATTTCAGATAGGCAGTTCCAAAAGTTTCTTCTTTGCAGAGGTGCACAGAATATGGGTAAAAATATAAAGATGCCAGCCAGAAAGGTACAATCAAAATTCCATCTGTTTTTATGTACATTGCGTACACATATACACACACACACACACCATTGGCACGGTAGCTAAGTGACTTAAAAGACGGCGGAGAAAGTCTGTATTCTAGCAATTCAAGTCCTACTACTGTGTGACATAATGAGCTCCTGTTACTTGCCTCAGCTCCTGCCAGCCTAGCTGTTCAAAACCACGTAAATGTAAGTAGATAAATAGGTACCACTTTATGGGAAAGTAACAGGATTCTGTGTTTCATCTAACATTTTGCGTTGAAACATGCTGTCATATTAGCCATATAACTGCAGAAATGTCTTTGGATAGTGCTGGCTCAATGGTTTAAAGAAATGGAAAGGAACATCCCCCCCCCCCAAAAGGTGGCTACAATAATGCAGAAACCCACAGGGACTCCTTTTCCTTACACATGCACATACAAACCAAACAGACAGAGCTGTGATGCTCTTGGCACCACACCCTGCAGTCATCGCTATGTGAAAAGATTTTCAACTTGGACTTTGGCACTGACATTCTAAAACAGTTGAAATGAGGGATTTCACTGGCTGTTGATTTGCATGATCCAATACCTTTTTAAAAAATATCCCAAGAAAAAGGCTCCTGATACTGATTGTTTTGATGATTTAGTTTCTATTGTAGTCCATAGATCAGATCTTCCTTTTGCTTGTAAATCTTTAATCAGTTCAGGCTTTCATAGAATACCTTTTAATGAGAAGGAATGAACCAAATTAGCAGCATTATTTATAACTGTGTCACATGGACCATTTCTTGCTGACAGTACCATCAATGGTGGTCAGTTTTGGTCTATAATGGTCATATGCTACAAGCATAACAGCTATAATCCTATTGCTTTTGTTCCACTAGCTGGAAAGTACAGGTAGTTATTGACTTGACTGTTGAAAGTTACAATGCATCTCCCCCGGGAATAATTACGACTCAGTTCCAAAATTCTGATGACCACCTCTCCCTGCATATTTACAGACATTTGCAGCATCCTGTGATCACCTGACCATGTTTTAGAATGGTTTTAGTGCAAACTGGCATTTAATTCATGTTTTCAGCCAAAAGGTCTATAGTAAAACCATTTCCTTAAAAGTCTCAGCATTTGCTTAGTGACCATGGTGGCTACTTTAAGATCGCAATGGTTGCTATACAACTGCCACAAAAAGCTCATAAAATTAGGTCAGTCATATGGGTGACCCATTTTACGACCATCACTAGTTATGACCATGATGGCAAGCTCCATTACAGTCATAAATTGAATAGCCATACGTGCAGTGTATTGGGATGCAAAATGAGAAGAAACAAAAACGTGTGAATTCAATATGGTAGAAACTAAGATGGTTTGCAAGAATAGAAAAGAACGGAGAGTTATAGCACATCATTGTGTAAACTAGGTTTAATTCTTTTCTCTTTTTGCTCACTACTTCTAACTCATTTTCTGTGCTGTGCATAACACTTAGCTTGCACCGGAAAGGAAGAGCAAAAAGAAATAGCATGTTGGGTATGTAAGTATTTATGCTTTTTTTTTTTTTGAAAATTTTATTTGGGTTTTCACAAAAACAAAATACAAATAAAACATCTTTTTTGAAAATAGCATGGTCCCAGGTTATCACTTCTTCATACAGACACAAAACTCAATTTCATGCTCATTTTTATATTCTATTCCATATCTTATTACCATTTCATATTTTCTACATAGTTTTTTCCCTCTTCTAATTTTCTCAACTTTGTTTTAATTATCTCAATTCAAATCATTATATTTATACTTTTGTCTGTCCTGTTACAATTTCACATTATCTTTTCTTGTTAAGCAAATTTTTTCCTGTAGTTACCAATTAGAGTATGACACCTTTATATCCTTTAATTTTATCCATTCAAGCTCTTATTTAAGCTTCAATGTATACCTTTAAGATTATAGCATTCAATATAATACATAACTTCCAATCAAATTCTGCTTGGTACATTCTTAAAATAGACACTATATTCTTAAAAAGAAAAAATTATATATATGTAAATAAAACACATTCCATTCCAATTCAATTCTATCATTAATGTGCATTAAAATCTTAACATCTTTAACATTTCTTTTCAATTAAATATCATACTTCCTTGGGAACACTTATAAACTTTCCATAGTTAATTCTTTTTTTCCCCATATTTCTCACTTGTATTTTTATAAATCATTACTAATAATTAAAAATGTTCCCTTTTAATTCTCTCAATCATTTTAATTCATTTATTTATTAACAAACATCCCACTGCATTACAATAAATATTTTATCCATCGTCATATTTTCTAAAGTTATTTCTATTTGTAATATAACAAAGCTATCTTATGTACCTTTGCAGAATCCCTTTTACAATTAAATTTTCACCCATTATCTCTAAACAAACTTACGGTTACAATCCTTATATCTTTTCCCTGTTTCTCCATTTCTTGTTTCTGTCTTTTACAACTTCTTTTCCTTGCCTTCTTCCCCCTCTTCTTCTCCCTCCCCTTTTTACCCCCTCGTCTCTCTACTTCTAACTCTCTCATCTGTAATCCCCTCTTCTGTTGCTTTCTAATATTATACTTATCTTTCAAATTGTTCTTCTTTTTGGTTGTTTTCACTCTCTTTCCCCCCTTTTCTTTTTTCCCCCCACTTAAAATTAAAATTATTTGATCATTAAAGATGGCTTTTTCTTTGTCCCAATCTTCTTGTTCTGCGAGCGTTTCTTGTTGCTTCTCATAGTTCCAGATCTCCATTTCTAAGAATTGAAACACAAAGCCAAAAGAACGTCTGCCTTCTTGTGTGTCTTCTTTCCATTTTTAAAGTTCCGTTTTCAGTTCTTCTAAGAGTGATACCATTTTAAAAACTTTTAAACAACCACCCAGTTAATTTTAGTCATTTAGATGCAAAAAACAAAACTCATCAAGTAATCCAAATAATCCAAGGCTGTTTCTACTTGCTTCTTTTTTCTACTTTCTCTTCCTGGGGTTCTATTATTTTGTTACCAAGTTTCCATTAAAATGTATCTTTGAGGAATCTTGTTAAAATTTCACTGTAAGTTCCTTTTAATTACAGTCCTATTCCTTAATTCCAGGCAGTCTCCCCGATTTTTCCAGATCCTGCCCTTCTATTCTTTTTTTTCTCCTTTCCAGCTTTTAAAAACTTTTAAATGTCCAGAACATTTATCCCTTTGACTTTTATTTTCAGCTTAGATGCCTATTAATGTTAAAGTGGATTTTTTTTCCAGTTTCTTGCTTAAGTCTCTTAGCTGTCAGTATAAGGAAGGGAAGAAAAAAACCTAATCTTTTCCCTTCTCTCTCTCCTTTGCAGCTTCAAAATCTTCTTTGGGAAGAATGTTGTTAAGTTTAAATTCCAGGGTACCTTATTTGTTGCTTTTGCTGTTTGACCCGGTCAACCAAAACTTTCTCTTCTTATCTTCCTCCTGCACAGTCTTTTCTGGCCGAGTTCTTCTTTGTGGTGGCCATTTCTGACCACCGCTACAACTGCCTTCGGGAAAGGAAGTAATGGCCAGCTGGGGAGGAAAGATGCGGCTCTCCTCAACCCTGCAGGCAGTCTCCCCCCTCTTCACCACTTCTACGGGGTGGCTTAGCCCCAAAACCAGCCAGCTCAGGGCATTCCAGCGGCAAGCATGGATCGAAGCCTCAGGGAGATGAGGTTTTGATCTGTCGCCAAAGAAGCTCAAACCAGAAGGCGTAAATATTTATGCTTATAAATATAATATTCATTTGATTTATAGTGAAAGGTGTTATAATTCTTTTTCAAATATTGTGAAAGAAAATATTTGCCAAATCCACTGCCAAATCCACTGTGCAGGATTCTCCAGCCTCTCTGCACATTTGCCAACCCAACCACTTACAAACGTATCTGCATTTTCCTCGACCTGTGCAGCACTATGTATATCTCTCTGACCATAATTCAAGAATTACCTGATAAGCACAAGCAATTGTAAAAACCATTTTCATGTCTCATGTCTACATTTCTTTTTTTAATAATAATTTTATTAAAAATTGCAATTAAAATTGCAACAATAAAAATTAATACAATTAAAGAAAAAAGAAAGAAAAATAGAAAAGAAAAAAGAAAAAGAAAATATATAAAGAAATGAGACCCCTCTTTATCACAACAAACATAAACAATTTTAGTAACCAATTAAAAATAACTATCTTCTTTCCAAATCCTATCTATTATCTAGAAACAAGTAACTAAAATCTCATCATTTCAGTCCTGGTGTTAGCAAAAGTCAATTAAGGTTTACCAGAGATAACGTATCTATTTTAACCTTGAACATAAACCAACTTTATGTTCCTTCATTTTACTTTTAATGTTGATCTTTAGTCTCTTCAAATAATGTCCTAAAACTTGCTTTTTTTTTTTTTTCACTTTTCTCCTGTCACAAAATTCTTGAAAGCTTTAACAAATCTCTTTTGTAAATCCAAAATGGGAAAATTATCCAGCTCACTCTCTTGATTTGTTAATTGTGTATATAACCCTTTTCATTGTTAAATCAGCTGGGTTTTTTGTATGTTCAACATAACATCATTCTTCATGTCATTCTTTACAATTTGTCAAGCTGATTACAAAAGAAAAATATACAAACCCAGTGTCCGTTTAAAGGCACTGACTACGATTTGAGCAAAGTGGCTATTCTCTCATCTGCCAGACCTCCAAAGCCACTTGTGACTGTTGTCTTGTATCCCCCTCACAAGACGCAATTGTCTGGAATACTTGTGGGTGATCTCAAGTGTTTTCCTTGTCTGGAAAGGAATTACAAACAGCTGGTTTAAATTGCTGTCTCTTCCTACTGCCACGGTTATGGGCTCTTATTTTCATGGAACTGTCTTTGAGTTCTTGAGTTCTTCTCTGGAAATGTATAAATTTGCATTCTGTAATGATTCTAGAACTGACAAATTAGTAGTACACTATAAAATATTGTGTAACATACTGTTAATTTTCATGTAACTTTTGTTCTATTTATTTACAATTATTTTAAGACTCTGGTTCCAAATGTAATTTATTTTTTATGATATATTTACCCAGCTAAAATGATATTCGTACTTCGTGTGTAATATATAGTTACTCTTTTTTTTTTTGAGTAATGCCATGGTACTATTATATTTGTACATTTCCTTGTAAGGCTCAACTTAATCTGTTAGATTCTTTAAATAGCAGCTTTTGTAATTTAAATATTTTTCAGAAAATGTCTCCAATTGATGTAGGCAAGTCTGATTATTTAATGTAAATTATTGTATAATATTAAAAATGATCAATGCATGTTTTTTAAGACAACTGAAAACTAGAAGTTATACACTAAACGTGAACTGAAGCAATGAAAATTCACTTGACTGCACTGGATAGTTGTCTGTATTATTTTTCCAATATTTGCTTACTTTTAGCAGTCAGCATAGGATACCTCTTTAAGGGGATGCTGACAGGTATGACATGTATCACACCTTTTTCTCGTCCCAGCCTATGTGTGCGTGCGCATGCACATATGTACCATGTTTCATACTGATAGTTGTCAACATATGAACATAATTTTAATCATAAATCATTGTGGTTGTAGGTCATGGCACTCATTTGACCAAATCTGATTTTTTTTTACTATTTTTCTGTTGGTCTTTCAGTAAATCACATGGTTGTTAAGTGAATCCATTCTCAAGGGAAGGAACATTTTTTTTGCAAATCAGTTATATGACCATGGAACTATTGATCATAAATGCAAGCCAATTGAATGTGCTTCTGAAGCACATTCTGAAGGGATGGGGGAGTAACACATTTTATAATGGTTGTGTCATGCTCCTGGTGGAGACTGACTCTTGAGGGGGAGGAACAGCCAGCGGAGTGGAAGTGTGACTCCAGAGGTGGTGGAGGAGACTGGCGAAGGGCAGAGGTCGGCTGAGCAATCAGAGGAGGACCCAGGCCCATCTCCTGTCCATCCTAGGGCACACAGGGAGGAGAGGATCAGGGAAAAAACATGGTCTACTCAGGAGAAGAGGGCCATGATCCTCTTCATGGGTTGCAGGTATGAAATCTGCATAAGAGTTTGGACCTGTGTGCTAACAAACACTGGAGACAAATTAGTGTTTTATTCCTGGATGAGGTTTATCTTGATTGTCGTTCTTCCAACGGACTGTACCTGGTTATCTTCCTGAAGTTTGTAATTATTTATCCTGGTCTGTCGTGGAACTTTCTTCAGTGCGGTTTGTTTTTGTTTTTTGCTTCGTTACCTGCTCTTTGAATTTGAACTGTATTTCTTTCATTTGGAATGTTATTTTGAAAATAGTTTAATCTTCAACTGTGAACAATTAAACAGTGAAGCCAAGTTGAAGACCTTTATTTACGCTTTGGTTTTTGTTATATTTTTGACACTCCGGGTCATCACAGGTTGAAAGTGCTTTACAGACTGTAAAACACCCTTTCCGAGGCCGTTATAATTTCAAATGGCTGTTAAACAACTAATCATAAGTCAAGAATTATCTCTACACAAGGTGATTCTGTT